TAAACCTCGGAGACATAAATTGAATGTGTGTTTCTTTTCCCATTACATCAAAAAACTTATTGCATTGTGGTTTTAATTTGCTTTTCCCTAATAACTAATGCTGTTGAGCATATTTTTTGATATAATTTATTGTCAGATTCATTTCCATACAACACCCAGTGCTCATCCCAACAAGTGCCCTCCTCCCTTCCCATCACCCACTATCCCCCTCCCCCACCCACCATCTGCCCCTTAGTTTGTTCCTTAAAAAGGGTTAGTATCAAAAATCTATAAAGAACTTATCCAACTCAACACCCGAAAAACAAATAATCCAGTGAAGAAACGGGCAGAAGACATGAATAGACATTTCTCCAAAGAAGACATCCAGATGGCCAACAGACACATGAAAAGATGCTCAACGTCACTCATCATCAGGGAAATACAAATCAAAGCCACACTGAGATACCACCTCACACCTATCAGAGTGGCTAAATTGAATGTGGTTTTAATTTTGAAAGCTGAAGCTTAATTAACTCTACCAAATCCCATCCTTCAGAAGACCATTAGCAGAAGGGAAATACTCCACCTCAACCATAGAAAAGAAGGAGGAAAAGGACTCAGAGGGATAGAATTGGGCAGTATTAATCCATCATCATCCAGAGAAAGTGACTTGATCAGAGATTGTACAGCAGCCTGAACAGTCCTTTCAAAATACAAATCTGATGTTCTCACTCCATGCTAAAACCTTTCAATGGTATCTTAATCCCCCAAGGATAAAGATGACAATCTTCAGCCAGGCTTACAAGGCCATGTCTGACCTGGCCAGTGCCCTCTTCATGATCTTCAGCATTCTGACCTTCCTCTCTGTCCCCCAAACATACAATGCTCCTTCCCAACACAGGGCCTTTGCACATGCTATTCCCTCTCAAGAACTATCTTCACTCCCTTTCCCCTAATTCCTCACATAGTTAACCCTACTCATCCTATGGTCTCAGTGCAAGCCTTTCTTTCTCAAGGAAGCCTTCTGGGTCATCCATAGTAAGTCTTCTTTCTCTGCATACACATAGCACTGTGTACTATATCTTCCTGGTACTCTATCAGAGTTTTAATATTATATTTACTAGTGAGATCATTTTGTTGGTATCTGCCTTTTTGAATCTACGGAAGAGCTGTGAGTGCAGAAACTGTGTGATTGTCTTTTTTGATTGCTCACCATTGTAACCCTTTCTGGCAGAAGCAAGTCCTCAGCACATATTATCAAATAAATTAATTTGTCAGATCTAGGCCCCATGCAGATTGATCCCTGTAAGCTAAATATGTGCTTCAGGATGTCACAGGATAGCATCAGGAGCGATTCACAGCATCCAGCCACCTCCCTTAGTAATGCCATAATCACCAAGCAACCTTCTGATGAGTTATTATAGTTTCATGTTGATTTTCCTTAAGTTGGAAATCTACAGGGTCTGTTTCTCTTGGCAAGTGTATGTGTCATTCTAAATCAATCTACTTACATTACAGTCTGTTCCACCTTCTCCTGTTATTTGCAGATCCAAAATTAGGCTTGAGGAACAGATTGTCTTTATTAACTGTTTCATTCAATAAGTATTTACGGAGCACTGTATGCCAGGAACATTTCAAGGCATTCGGGGTACAGAAGAGAACAACACACACAAGGCATCTGTGCCGGCAACAACAGGTTTCTAGGTCTGCAGGACTGGGTCTCTCTGGATGTGCTGTCATCCCCATGATGACACCACTGGGTGAGGTCCTGCCTCTCAGGGGCCCTTTCTTTCCTGAGTTCCTCTCCTGTTGTAATCACAGAAATGTTAAGGACATAGGAGTTCCTGGAGAAGCTAAGAAACTCCTTGACAGTAAAATCCTTGGTTGACTCTCTTGCATTTCCCAGAGTGCCAGCATATATAAGTGGGGGAGGGAGGAATGTCATATACAAAGATAAATTGAGAACCTATTTTTAAAAGAAACAAATGAACATTCCACACCTGAAAAATGCAGTAGCGGAGATTAAAAACCCCTGGAACTGGTCTGACAACAGCATGGACATAGCAGAAGACAGATTGAGCTTTTACCGGTCAGTAGGAAATCTAAACTGAAGCACAGAAAGAACAAGAATGTAAAGAACAGAACAGAGAATAAGAGACATTTGAGACATGGTCAAAAGTGGTACTACATGTGTAACTGGAATCCCCCAAAAAGGAAGGAGAATGGGAAAAAAGCAATGTATGAAAAAGTACTGTCCATGAATTTTCCCAACCAGATGAAAGACACGAAGCCACAAGTTCAGCGACGTCACTGAGGTCTGACTGGGATGAATCAAAGAAAACTACATCTCGACACATAGGAGTCAGAATGCTAAAAGTCGAAGGTGAAAGGCAAAATCTTACTGGATTTTTTTTTTTAAGATATATTTCCTCCATGGAAACAAAAATAAGGATGCTGACTTTCCCAACAGAAACCATGGAGCCAGAAAGCAATGAATGGCATCTTTAGAGATTCGAAAGAACTAACTGCCAACCTAGAACTCCAGACCCAGTGAAAACATCCTTCAAAAGTGGAAGGAAATAGAGGTGTTCCCAGACAAACAAAATTTTGGAGATCTTAGCAGCAGCAGACCCACAATGTGAAATACTTTAAAGGATAGTTCTCAGGCAAAAGGGAAAGACTCCCAGATAGAAACAAAGACACGTAAGAAGAAAAGATCCGCTGTTGAAAATGGAAATATTTTGGTAAATATAAAAGGCCACTTTTAGAATATTTGCTTTTGAAGGCAAGAATCATAACAAAGTCGTATGTGTTTATACCACACGGAAATGAAATATATGACAACCGCAACCAAAAAGGTGGGCAGGGGTAAGTAGACTTGTAAGGTTATTGCACTGTTCAGGGCACTGTAAAATGCCGGTCTACTGTAATAAGTTGATAATATATCTTGCAATCCTCTAATTGATATTAAAATGTATAACAAGTAATAGTGAAAATAAAGTGGAAAGATGAAAAATACATGATTGATTAGAAAGAATACAGGAAAGGGAAAGGGAAAAAAGAACAGATTGCATAATTAGAAAACAAATAGAAAGATGATAGAGTTAAATTTAATTACTGGTAGAGAGTTAGATGCACAGATCAACAGAACAGAATGTGTACTCCCAAAATAGGCCCACAGGAATACTCCAGAGTGATTTTTGACAAAGGTGCAAAAATTCAAGGAATAATAACTTTTACAATATGCGGTGCTGAAACCATTAGATGTCCACAGACAGAAAAAACGAACCTGGATCTAGGTCTCACACATTGTACAAAAATTAACTCAGACTAGATCATGGGCTTAAATGGAAAATGTACAACTGTAAAACTTTTATTAAAAAAGAGAACATCTTTGGGATCTAAGGCTAGGCAGACTTCTTAGAATAAACGCCAAAGCAGAATTCATGAAAGGAAAATTTTGGCTTTGTCAAAATGAAGAACTTTTCCTGTGTGAAAGATTTCTATTAACAGCGTGAGAAGACAAAGTACAGACTAGGAGAAAATAACTTGCAAGCCACATATCTGAGGAAAAGCTGGTGCATACAGCATACAGAGAACTCTTAAAACTCAACAGTTAAAAACCAAACAACCTAGGGGCACCTGGGTGGCCCAGCTGGTGGAGCGTCCAACTCTTGATTTTGGCTCAGGTCACGATCCCAAGGTCATCGGATCGAGCCCGTGTCAGGTCCCGTGCTGAAGGTGGAGCCTCCTGAAGATTCTTTCTCTCTCTCCTTCTGCCCCTCTCCCGCTCTCTCTCACACTCTCTTGAAAATAAGATTTTAAAAAAATTAGGGGCGCCTGGGTGGCGCAGTCGGTTAAGCGTCCGACTTCAGCCAGGTCACGATCTCGCGGTCCGTGAGTTCGAGCCCTGCGTCGGGCTCTGGGCTGATGGCTCAGAGCCTGGAGCCTGTTTCCGATTCTGTGTCTCCCTCTCTCTCTGCCCCTCCCCCGTTCATGCTCTGTCTCTCTCTGTCCCAAAAATAATAAATAAACGTTAAAAAAAAAAATTAAAAAAAAAAAACAATCAGAAAAAATGGGCCAAAGACGAGAGGCATTTGGCCGATGGGGAGGAAGAGGCACAGGAAAAGACATTCGGTGCCATGAGTCATTAGGGAAATGAAAATTTAAATCACAAAGAGAGGTCACCACCCACTCATTGGGATGGCTCAAATAAAAAATAATGGCAACACCAGTTGCTGGAAAGAATGGGAAAAAACTGATCACTAATACATTATTGGTGGGAATGTGAAATGGTACAGGCACCCTGAAAGGCAGTTTGCACTTTCTTTGCAAACCAGACTAGTCTACAACCGAGGAGTTGCACTCATGGGCATTTATCCCAGAGAAACAAAGACACACACACACACACACACGCACACATTTATGGCATCTTGATTCATAATAACTCAAAACTGAAAGCAGCAATAAAAAAGAATAATCATCGATACATACAATGACCTGGCCAAATTTCCTGAGAATTATAATGAATGAAAAGCAAAATGATACCAAAAAAAAAAAAAAGTCCAGTCTGTGATTTTGCTGATCCAACATTCTCAAAAGGACAAAATGACAGAAATAGAGCAGACTCTCGTGGTTTCTAGGGGTTAAGGATGGGGTGCTCGTGGGAGGAAAGTGAGTGGGTCTGGGAAAGGCCACCTGAGGACCCTGGTGGAGACAGAAATGTTCTGTATCTTGACTCCAATGTCAATACCAGCGTCTTGGTTGTGACCTTGTAAGATAGTTCTATAAGATGTTACCATTGAGAGAAACCTGGTGAAGAGGACGCAGGACCTCTGTATCATTTCTTATGACTGCATGTGAATCCACTGTTTTCTCAAAATAAAAATTCTAATTTAAAAAAACCTGAGAAACATCAAGTGCAACCACATAAGTGAATCTTGCAATCACAGTATTGAATGAAATTCAGTTCTCTCTTTGAGAGAAAAAGAACATGAGCAGGGGAGGGGCAGAGAGAGAGGGAGACACAGAATGCGAAGCGGGCTCCAGGCTCCGAGCAGTCAGCACAGAGCCCGATACGGGGCTCGAACCCACGAGCCGTGAGATCATGACCTGAGCCGAAGTCGGACGCTTAACCGACTGAGCCACCCGGGCACCCCCAGACATACAGAGTTTATATTGTATGATTACATGTAGAGGAATAGGCAACATGAGTCCACAGTGACGTCAGAGGAGCGGCTTCCCACAGCAGCTTGAGAGACAGGTCAAGGATAAGAAGATGTTCTAGATGTTGAACGAGGCGGTGTTTGTATGGTTATATGCAAACTTTAAATGCAAAGGTTAGTCAGCCTGGATGTGGGTGATGCTTCACTGCACATAAGTTATATGTGACAAAAATAATGAACGAGTGAATGAGGACGTGGACGTGGAGGAGTGAGATGCTGGGACAGTAAGTGCCCGACGTTCAGTCTGCATGACAGGGAGTGTGGGTGGCCCGAGGAGGCCTGAGATGAGCCGGGGAAGGAAGAGAGAGCCAGGGTGGGAGAACGTCATCCGCCGTGCTGGCGAACTTGAACTTCATCCTGTGGGCAAATGGGGCGATACCGATGGATGCCGTAGACAGAGGAGTGAAGCGATCGGCACTGTTTTGAAAGATCACGTCCCAAGCCCTTCCCTCCAGCTGTCCCAGTGATCAAAACGCAGAGCCCTCTGGGAACCAGATCTCGGGCCGGACGCTAACAGAGCGTGACACTGGGCGTTAAGGACAAGCGCAACGTGATGGCCTGGGCACGCGGCGCTCTCCTCCTCTGTAGATGAGAGCCAGAGTGTTGGGCGCCTGCTGGGAATCAGGCCCCATGCAAGCTTCACAGTGGTGACCTCACTGTCCGCCCAGCCAGGGACATGCCCACACAAGCAAGCTGGGGGGTCCCCAGGCCAAACCCTATGTCCAGGAAAATGCTACACCCACACGCTCGGCACGCCACAATCGACACTCTCATCCCGTTCCCCGCCACCACTACCAAAACAGCTTCCCTTGCTAACTGCTAGAGATAATTTGCTCGCTTGTCTGTATTAAATTGTTGGCTCTTTTCATTTTTTTTTTCCAGAAAAAGAAAGGGAAGAAAGGCAAAAAAGGGAAGAAGGATAAAGATCTGACAGCTGACAGGTGAGATGTGCACAAGTGTTGCTGTTCTGCACGGCTAGGGGGCCCCCCCCAGAGCAGCGCGCAGGTCTCAGCCGAAGTCGGCGACCCCCGTCCCGGAAAGGCACCCCTCCCTGCACCCCACACCTCCTTCATCCTCCAGGCGCTGGGACCGCTCTGGCCTCCTACACTGGAAAGATGTCTGCCAAGGTCAGGCCCCATCACTTCTGAGATCATACGACTTAAGCTTTTAAGATTCGTGGGGTTCTTAGGGCGCCTGGGTGGCTCAGTCGGTTGAGCGTCCGACTTCGGCTCAGGTCATGATCTCACAGTTTGTGAGTTCAGGCCCCACATCGGGCTCTGTGCTGATACCTCGGAGCTTGGAGCCCGCTTCAGATTCTGTCTCCCTCTCTCTGCCCCTTCCCCGCTCATGCTGTCTCTCTCTGTCTCTCAAAACAGAATAAATGTTAAAATAAAATAAAACAAAACAAAACAAAATAAAATAAAAATTAAAATCGTGGGGTTCTTAAGAATTTAAGAAATAGCATCCTGATCCAACTTTTGAGGGAATACGTAGACCCCTTCAAGGCAGAGACAGTTCCTGTGTCCTGCCCTGTCCTGGGCCCCACCCACTGAGGCACTTCCTAAACGCTCATTGAAGGAAAGGAAGAGGATTTGTCTCATCAAGGGATATTTCCATTTCCTTGAGCTCCGCTGGCCAAATGTCGATACTCATGAATCATTTTATTTTTTAGGCTTATTTATTAATTTATTTTGAGGGGGTGAGAGAATCAGAACCACACCATCAGGGCAGAGCCCAACAGGGGGCTCGATCCCACAAACCGTGAATCATGACCTGAGCTGAAACCCACTGAGCCACCCAGACGCCCCTTCATGAACCATTTTAAATGCTCATTTTTAAGCTGAAATGGCCCTTCGGTGCTTTAATGGAAATAAATGGGACTTAGGTTTTCAGATATTTCCAAGGAATGTAGTGGAATCTAAGGAACAAAATAAAACAAACACAACAGAACAGAAACAGACTATCGATACAGGAAGCAAGCTAGTGGTCACCGGATGGGGGAGGGTTGGGGGTCAGGTAAAATGGGTAACATGGATCCAGAGGTACAAACTTCCAGTTACACATAAGCCACGGGGATGTAACATACAACACAGGGAGTACAGTCAATGATATTGTACTAACTTCATATGGTGATGGATGGTGCCTAGACTTATCATGGCGATCATCTTGTAATGTATGTAAATATTCAATCACTATGAAATGCATATGAAACTAGTAGGACATTATATGTCAATTATACTTCAGTTAAATAAACAAATAAAAGTAAAATTGAATTAAATTAAATACCTAATAAGTGAATGTCAGAAATCATTTTGAGGGGCTCCTGGGTGGCTCAGTTGGTTGAGTGTTCGACTTCGGCTCAGGTCATGATCTCAAGGTTGGTGAGTTTGAGCCCTACATCGGGCTCTGTGCTGACAGCACGGAGCCTGCTTGGGATCCTCAGTCTCCCTCTCTTTCTGCCCACCCCCCTCAAAAATAAATAAACATTAAAAGAAAAAGAAATCATTTTGAAGGAATACCTTTCTTCCCGTGGGTTTTGTTAACGGATACTACGTGTTGCTCCCTGTTTGGGGTGTTTCCTAGTCCTCCCCTGGGTAGCAGGGATACATTCCCAAACTCTATTTGAGAGAAGACCCATGAGAAAGGAAGCCCTTAGAACCATCCAGAAGGAAGTGGAGGCCAGAGCTGGTGCACGTGCCTGGAGCCCTGACACAAAGGCACAGAAGGATCTGGTCGTCTCATTCCTGGAAGATTTTTCATTTCAATTTTGGACAAGCCTGTGTCTCTAGACTAGGGCTAATTCTGCCAAGACACAGGAAGACAACTTCCGTTTCTCTCATGAAGTTAATGTAAACCCAAAACCAGTGTTTTTGCCATATTTAAGGTAGGTTTAAAGTTGAAAATTTTTTTTATTCCATAACAGAATTCGTTTCACTGGAAAGATCGAAATACGGGTTTGTGTCCCGGGCTTCTTAATATATTTTGTTCTGATTGTTTTGGAGAATCTTCAATGTTACGTTAAATATTTTATGCATATATTATATGTTTATATCAAATAAGTATTCTAGTTGGAAAACTACAGTTAGTGCCTCCTTGATACAGGTCAGATACTGTTATCCCAAGTACCATTACACCAAAGCCTTAATTCACAGCAGAATTTTAAACACTTTTCATTTAAACACTATTGTAAATATATTCGAAAGAGCAAAATTGCAGTCAGTCAAAGATTGGGGTCATTGAATTAACATGTATCCGAATGGTATTTGGCTTAAATATAACTGAGAATTCTTTATCACCCTAACCTGGATCGTAGAACAAAGAACTGGTTAAATATAGTTATATTTACAATTCCTCATTCTAAAGAAAGACTAGGGTAGAACTAAAGAATAAAGCTTCTAGAAATGAAAAGGGAATAGATGAGACATCTCAAAGGACTGTACTCAATATGTGAGCTTGACCTACCTGAATTCCTATAAGCCAAGCCCCAGTTAATTTCACTGGGACGTTCACTTACTAAGTGGGATACTGTCTTGATTTTTTTCTTCAATTACTCTAACTTATCAGTGCACTGGCTATATGCCCAAGGCCCTGTTAGAGTAGTGGGTTGACATCTGTAAACACTATGGAAAAGTATAATATCCTCCTAAAAAAATCATCACCCCCACTGCGTTAGACATTTCATCTTTCAGAATAGAATTAGTTCCCCTCTGAGCCTTTGTTCTTTATAGGTATTTCTTTTGAAGTCTTATGCTGTTGGGTTAAAAGGAAACATCAGTTGCACAAAGGATTAATGATCTGCTGTGGCTTGCAGATGCTAACTGAATATATAATCGTGGGCCCATCGCACTGCTATTATAGGGCAATTTCTAATTCATATTTGTGCCATACCAAGGATTCATGAAAGGGCAGACTGCAGAAGCTGTAGCTGGTCTCAGATGCCCACAGATATAATTCTTATTAATGGGAAACGTCCGACGTGCATGTGGATGAGCAAAAGTATTGTTTTCGAAGCCTGATGTGTCCCTCAATTGTAGCAATGTTTCCAAACACCAGCTTAGTTGCATAGACACAAATGTGCATAGGAATAGGTCTGGTGAAAGTTCTCTGCATGCGTGATGATTAACAGAAATGCTGACTTTATGTGTCTGCTCATGGAATAGCTCCTCTGCTTTGTCACCAGGACCATTGAGTCTCTGTACAAGGAGCTGGTGGAAGAAGGGTTGCTGATCCAGGCTCTGAACGTTAACCTCTCCGATTACATCGGTAAGGTACACCAAGAATTACGCATGTCTGGGTCGCATGTGTAGCCCCTCGGGTTTTGAGGTCCCAACAGCTGGAATTATGTTTCCTTGGTGGTTTTTGCCCAAACCAAAACCTGGCCCAAGGCTCGGAGTAGATTTTTGTCTAATGGAATGGATTTGAATTCATTCCATGCTGTGAGCTAATAGGTCCAGCTCTCCCCCCTCATGTGGTGGAGGGAGGTTTTTGAACCTATATTGAGGAAATGAAGACTTGTTCGTATTTTCGTGTTGAAACAAAATGCCCCAGGGGGCAGCACCTGGAACTTGAACGCACAATTCTTACGGAAAGAATTCCTTCCAGAAGGGGCCGCCACACAGGTCACTGGAAGGAAGGAGGAGGGACATTTGTTGACACCATCTTCAACTAAGGTTTTCTCTTAATTTTTAAAAAACAACACGATGACCTGAAAACACACTTAAAGCTTAAAACTATTTGAAATGCCAGCACCCTAACGCAGGTATGATTTTCACTTTCTCGCACATGCCATGAACTAGGACATTCTCCCACATAACCACGAAAGGATAATCACACTCAGACAACTTGGCATCACTGAGATGTGATGCCTTCATAAGTTTTTGTCTTTCTGAATCCAACATCCAGTCAAGGACTGTGGATGCGGTGTTCATATCTTTGCCCCTTTAATTTGGAATACCTTCCAACCTGACGTCTTTCACGCTGCTGACCCTGTCAGAGTCTGGGCTGTTTTACAGACTGTTTTTCAACAGAGGTGGTTTGATGGGTTTCCTCATGACTTGATTCGGGGGAGACTGTTTTTGGTAGGAAGACTTCATAGGTGATATTGTGTCCTCAGAGTTGCACGATGAGGGCCCGTCGTGTCCCATCTCTGGGGGCGTTACATTTCATCACTGGCCAAAGTGCTGTTCCCCAGATTTCTCCACTGTCAAGCTTCATGTTCCCCCTGGTAGTTAATGAACAACCTGTAGTGGGGAGTCTTTGAGGCTCTGGAGATTCTGTCCCCAACTGGTTTAAAGGTTTTATCAACCACTGATGAGT